AGTACACACCATCTCTGCAGCTTTCAAGACGTGCTTCATGATGTGCTGTCAAGTGTTCGAATTAGATGTCTACGAGAATCTTTACTTCCACGTACAATGCAGTCAGTTTCGACTGCTTGCTCTCTATATTAGTATCTTATACAATAAATCATATCAGTTTTTCAATATGGAGTTTTATCGGTTCATATGAAAACATCACTCCAATTAACAGCTTCCCTTTCTCAAGATTTCAACTTACAGTGAAGGGTTTCAACGCAATTAATATTGTAAACAAGTGGTCCACATCTGGAAAATTTAAACAGACAGTAACAAAGTATTTTACATCCAAAAGAAAGTAATTGGAATAACGGCAGGTGTTAAAAGGAGAGTCACTTGTTGAAAGTTATTTAGGAAATTTAATATACTTCAACTCCTTACTATAATTTATGGTGGAAAACTTGGACAAATTTCTAATAAATACAGATGTACACAACTTAAACACAACATAAATATGACCTTCATATGCCAAATAGTAACCTCACTAAATATCAAAAAGGAGTATACCATATCAAGTTATTCAATAATACTCCACCTACAATTAAAAGTTTAAATCATGACATCAAAGTATTCAAGCCTGCGTAAAAAGATTACCTCTTAACTCACTCATACTCTAAATAGTTTTACCTCAGTGGAAAATTCTGAAGTTTAAGTTAATAAGTTCTGCACTTGTATTATGACATGCTCTTCTTCCTTCGGTTTAGCCCAAAGAAGGATCTATAGAATGTAAAATAAATTCTCTCTTATGAAATAACCAGAAAGATGAGAATAGATCTACTCCCAGTGCCAAGTTCTGACAAAAAATCCCTGGAAAAAATTACTGATTCAAAAAATGTTAACCCATTGCTTTAAGACCATTTTAATATATTATTCTCAGACCTATTATTAAGTCTTCCGAGCAACCTCTTACTGTCGGGCTCTCTAACCAAAATGTTGCACCCATTCCCAATCCACCCATGCATGCTACATGCACGACTGTATCATGCTAATAATATCTGGAGATGAGTACAAATTATAAAACTCTTCAGTGTCTTGTCATTTTATTCCTCAAATATCTTAATATTTCCCTCACCTCCCTATCTCAAACATCTGTGTTTTGAGTACTTGCTATAATGTGGACAAACAACTTTCCTGCCCATAAAACACATTAGGTATAATTACAGTTCTGTATATTTTGATCTATACAGATTGTACAGCAGAACTGAACTGAATGGTAACACGCGATCCTAAATTTAATCTGTTCTTCTTAATTTATTTATAAAGTAAATTTCAGTTTGTTACTGTACTAAACTTTTTTTTAGGATTTAAGGCAACATTTATATTATGTTACCATCCCATTGGCTGTAATGAGACATTGGCATACTTTTAGCTTCTTTCTGTGTTCAACTTCCAGGCCAACTTCCTTATTAGCATGTAATATGGTTTCTGGAATTCAAGCTTATGCATGATAAAATGTACAGTAAGGATTTAACCTACAGACAGATACCTGAAGACTTTGTTCAAGTACAAATACCAAAATAATACATTTCAGAGCAAAACTTACCACAGCTGGCAGAGTCAGAATTTTTACTTTAATCCATTAATGGTGATTTTCAAACTATAATTACAGAACTTACTGCAACCTACCAAAAAAGACTAATTATAACCCATTATAAAATTCTTTTCACAACATTTTACTTCGTAAATAAAATAAAAGCCAAAAAAACTTAAACTGGGTTGGTCTACTCAAGAACTGGTACCCATACATCATCAACAGTTACTCCGCAGATCAAACCAAAACCAATATGTGTATGTTGCAGTGTGCCTCTGATTATGAATTAATTTTTAAATTAAACCCACATAATTACATTAAAAAAAAAACCTGGCTGCACCTTCCTTTTTAAAGAATATGGTGAACAAAAATTGAGTACAAGACATTAAGAAAAGCCAGCAATCACAATCTTTAATAGGAAGTAAGAGAAGTAGGCTGCATCCATCCATTCCTTTCACCAATGGCAGCAAGAGACAAGACTTGGCTTCCATCACTAATACAGTCACTTCTCTTGCATCTAATAGCTAGTTTAACACATCTTTAACCTCCATATTGACAATATCAGACTCACAAAATTACATTTATTCAAAGTTAAAAGCGGGATAAATTTAAGAATACCAAAATAACCTACAATTTGAGCAAAACAGACCCCATTTAAAAATTTAGGTAACAATTTAAATGTAAAGAAAAATGAAACTGCCATTTCAATTTATTTACAAATGGCTTCCTTCCCTCTTCAAATCAGTTTGTAGCATATGAAGTACGGAACGTAAATTTCATTTTATAAATAAACTGTTTGTGATTGAATGATTCCATCAAAATGAAATCCAAGCATTTTCAAGCCTGTATACTGCATAATAAATGTCATAACTGCTGCACAAAACAATTACACAATACACAAAGGTACAAAAACCTACTTCTTTCAGAATCTTGTTGAGCAGCATACTGTCATCAGTAGGAAAGACGCGAGAGTTCCTCAGAAAAAAGTGTTCCCTGAAATACTGAACCATGTGAAAAAATGAACTATATAGTACTCTTATCTCTTTTTACAGAGAAAAAATCTCTTCAAAGTACAGGAGGAGAGAGAGTAGTGTTCTGCCTGAAGATAGAGACAGCATGTTTGCCAAAAATCATCTGCATCTACCTAGAAACCCACAAGGCCTTATAACGCAAAAGAACAACACATATTTATTTGTTGCTAAGAGAAACTCAAATAACACAGTGCTGTCATTATTGCAGCTTAACTGTACCAAGCATTGTGAAGCCACATAATACTGGTTCCATCTTGGAAATCATACTTTAGAAATCACTGGTTTCCCATTACTGTAACAACCAAATGAAATGGTAGCAGCTTATCATATTTGTGACCAGAAATTATGTATTATGTAAGTTATGTATGTCACAGTGGCATATCTCCATATTACAAGTATGCTAAGCAACCACAAACCTGACAGATCTCTTCATCCTGAATACCTTTATAGCTAGAAAAGACCACTTCACACTTGGTAATCACTGGTAGCATTCGATTAAAGAAAAGTGTCTAAGAATCCTAAGCTTCATTGCAACATTTCAAGAGTCAGGGAGGTGTATGAGAGACATTAACACTGATTAAGTATGGAATACTAGTTATTTTTGAGAAAAGTTGTATTACAAAAGTGTGAATTTTTTAGTTTTCATATCTGACCATGACTACTAGCTAACAGGATACATTATAATATGCAGACCAATTAATGTGCTTTACAAATTGGTAGTGACTATTTCCATGTTGAAATACCAATGAAGCGCACAGTATGCAGGAACTGAGGCAACTAATGTGAAGTCAGAGGAATAAAAATGAAAAAAGGAAGATAAACTCTGTGCCATAAATACAACCTTCCCTGGCAGTATGAGACAGAATTAGCTGCTTCTGATAAGACTAAAAATACTGCAAACCATGAAACTGGCCATACAATTTTCACTTGTGTAATTTATACACATCTACAACAGGTCACCTACAAGAATAAATACATGTCATGTAATTATTACTGAAAAGCCTGAATTCAAAACAAAAAGAAATGCAACAGACTGCTTTTCATCTGAATAGATTTCCAGTCACAGCTAAGTATCTAGGGCACAAGATCAACATCCTCTGTGATTAATTTTACACACACACACATATAAGTGTGTGTGTGTGGCTTTTGCAATAAACCATTATGCAACATAATCTTAATTTAACTCACAATATGGGTTCAGTAAATACGAACTGTCCAACTGTTTTAATTTATTCACAAACTACAAAAAAGCATTATATGTAATGTCTACAAGTTTTTAATATGTAATACATTAATTTTGTGAAATTCCAAAGTCCTCCAGAAATGTCAAATTAAAGGATAGTTTTCATGCATAAACTTTATTTATTCCATCACCCTGATATGCAGGCAGCAAGGACCTCTGAAATGTTGTTAAACTTCTACCATACTACTACATGGTGCTACAACCCAGACAACAGCCATCTTTGGATTCACTGCTGTGAGAACCTCAATCATATTTATTTCTGTAATCTGCACCAACATATAAAAGAATGGGGGTTCAAATTCCAATAAATTTCTTAGCAGTGGTAATGAAGAAATATTTTCATTCACAATTCATCATAAACCTAAGTGTTTGCAAAATACACATGAACAATATATCATCACATGAATGAGCAATTACTGTTGGTCACTAATGTCATTATACCTCTCCTACGTACTATTATCAAAACGGCTTTAACTCGAATTCGGAGAAGTATTTGTAACCAAAACACCTGCATGAAGTTTATTAATACCTGTGTATCTGGTGGAAAAAACCAACATACCTTCATATCAAAATGTTTCACTTCCATGAATTAAAATTCTTTATTTCAAAAAAATCAATTATATTATGGTTCTTAACACCTTATAACGAGTGTGATAATGGTAAAGTGGCATAAACATGTATGACGAGCATAGCTCTGCATTCAAATTGAATGCACCTATCCATATGTTTCATTAACTGGTACTTTAGATTTGATGACAATATTCAACTTGCATGAATACCACGTTGAAATCTGGAGTATGTGCAGGGAATTATACACAGAAAGTGTAGTATGTTCAAATGATAAAAGTTAGTTCCCAAACTTTGCAAAATAGTCACAAAACCAATTAGTGCTGCATTCCAACCTAATTTCTGTAACCAGTTGTTGACGTGGCGGTAGGTCAACAACTATATCACTTCTTGAGCATTATACTCACATTAACGTACAATATTAATTCAACAGACCATACTCAATAGTCTGTAACACTAAGAAATTTTCGTTAACTGCTTCGGAGACCTCAATACTATTTTAAAATATGGCGACCACCAACGTATTGCAGACGATGATTACAATAATTACCAACACTCATTTATCTAAAAATAATGTTATTTTTTATCTTACCTTATTCCTCAAGAAGTCTTCTATAGCACGGTAGGCAGAATCCGTAAGTTTCACAAATATCAACGACTTATTTTCATGAAAATTGCCCTGCGATAACAGACCATACTCAACACCTTCCACTAGACCCGCCATTTCTGTCTCCTCGCTTGCTCTTGAGAACCAGCTGACGTCGGGTAGTCAAGCGAGTGATTATATTGTCAAATATAACAAAGGAAACTTATTACTTATTAACTATAATGTTGCACATTAATTAAATGTAAAAATAATTCTACTTTAAGATCTCTATAATAAATATAGTCGATTATTTAATGTGGTTTTTATTCATGGTAGTGACAGATATATTCGAAAGAGGGCAGCATTTACTATACGTGTAGTTGTAGGTCTTAACACCGAGCACAGTAAAAGATTCCTGTGTAGGGAGTGCAGAACCATCTATGAGCAAAAATGTAAATTACCTCACAGATTGTGAAGAAGAACAAAGAAAGAGAGGAATCACATAAGGATACATGGAGCACGAACATGACCGTGTTCTGATTGGTTGCGCCGAGCGTGGTTTACAGCGCCTGTCGACAACTTTCGTGATCGGCGCGTACTTCATTGAAGTAACTCTGACAGATACGGATAGATGTCGAGAATGTTTAGACCCAGGTGTACAATCACCTTCAACAATACAGGTCTTCAATTCTCTTACTTTTTTATCCTACCAGAGCAGGGCGCTCCTTTCCTTTTTCTACGTGTGTCGTTAATATGGTCTCGTTTATCAATGTAAGTCTTCCTTCGCTTTTCTTTATTTGTTAAATAGATCTGATGTCTTAGTTCTTTACGTCGCTGTTCAGAGGCCATCTGTTCTTGATCAGTCAACTTTCTACGTCCAGCAACACCCTTGCTAATCTTCGTCTTAAAATCGATCATAAAGTCAGATTTCATAATAGTTTTCGTAATCGTAATATATCGAATGAGTAGTTTACCTTGTTGCTGTTGGTACTTCAAATACTTGATAACGTCTTCTTTCACTTTTCTGATGTTTTAGGCCAACTGTCAGTCAATATTCAAGAATGCTAAGTGCTCCTTCTGGAGCAGTGATAATGTGACTGGCTTGATATTTTTTAATTTTGTTGTTGTGAAGCGTTATTTGTTAACTCGACATTGTTGTGTTCCACAGCAATGTCGAGTAAACAAATATCTGTTGACATTGTTGATGACGTAATTTATTGACGACAACGAGGAATCACAAATTTTTATGGTAGAAGATTGTTGTGAAGCGTTATTTGTTTACTCGGCATTGTTGTGTTCCACAACAATGTCTAGTAAACAAATATCTGTTGACATTGTTGATGACGTAATTTATTGACGACAACGAGGAATCACAAATTTTTATGGTAGAAGATTGTTGTGAAGCGTTATTTGTTTACTCGGCATTGTTGTGTTCCACAACAATGTCTAGTAAACAAATATCTGTTGACATTGTTGATGACGTAATTTATTGACGACAACGAGGAAACACAAATTTTTATAGTAGATGTGCAGAATCCACCGCTTATTTGCATCATCATATATTAAGTTCATTGTTTTTTTGAAAGAAGAAGCAGTGCAACTTGTAGAATGTGACCCCACTTAACAGCTGCCGTTACGTCATGTGTTAGCCTACCATTTCATAGACTATTGACGAAACAACCTTCTGAACGCAGACTCACGACCTGACATTTTTACCTAAGGTACCAGTTCCTTACTGTTTACCTCTTGCATTTCAACGCATGACCATCCGAGCTAAGATGTTAGCCACACATCAGTTGCTAACACGGTTCATGGTTGCGTGATGACGTGTGACGTACGCCCTGTACCACGTTCCCCATGATTTTAATTGCGTAACCGTTGTACACTTATGTCGTGTTGTGACTTCTGATTATGTATCATGGAAGATTAAACATGATTTAAATATTGAATTGCCAATATTTTCACGACTCCCTTCCACCTCCTCGGGTTTTGGCTAACACTTTTGAAAGTCACGCTACGCCATTGCCCATAACCAAATGTTATCATGATATCAGTCAAGTGATCGTGGAAGTGAAACGACTGGTCGGTCATTCAGTTGTTTGGCTGACTAACAAGTTGCCTGCAACAATGAAAGTGCAACCAGTGGCTTCTTACAGCCCTCGACCCATGCACTTGCAAGTAGCAGCAGTCTGATATGAGCCTCCAAGTCGGACACAATACTTCGCCCCACAGCTTATTGGGATTTACTTGGAGGGGCAGAGGGATAATTATAACAACGTGAGAGCGACCGAGCTACACATTACGTAACAAGTTAGCGTCTGGTTTACCAACCAGGCTTTTGCCGTCCAGAAAACATGCATCTCGTTTCGGAGCTTCGTCTAACAATCACCTTGTTTCGTGAAGCGTGTTTTTCAATGACAGATAGTAAACACATTCCACACGCCTGACTTCCGGCGAAAAAGAAATTTGTAAAATTCTTCTGAGTATACCAGTAAAGGTAGGCCTAGACCCTGAAGAACAATACGGAAAACTCCTCCGAAGCGTTGATTATTTTAATATTTCAGCGCAGTAATAAACTCAGAAGGCTCTGTAATGATTATTATCAACTATAAGGATTTATACTTTAATTCGTATAACATTACTAACGTTTTGAAATGCCATAATCGTAGACTACTGAATGACATTCGAAATAAGAGGACAACTTTCTTCTGACAAAATCCGCTTAGAAATGAATTTTTACAAATTAGTGCAACGGCCTATATGAAATGCATTCCATTGAGAAAATACGTTCAAAATTATCATAAGTACAAGATCATGGACTGAATTTGGGGGAGGAGAGGGTTAGACACTAAAGTAACGAACGCTCGTTGCCATTTTGAAAACACCAAATTAACTGTTCCGTATGTCGTCGTCTTGATTTATTTCAAGACACAGAAATGTATAACACGTGTACCTACTATATAGCCAGTTTATGTAAATCAGTGTTTTCCGATCTCGATAGATCCTAATGGATTTCTTTAAATCAGTGTCCAGCTAATAAGACCAACAAGAGAGTAACTTGAAAGGTTCTTATATGCATAATCATGAATCGTGTTACCCGACACACATTAACATGAAGGTTGTCGTTCTATTGGAATTATGTTGGACTGGGTAGGAAGCGGTTGCAATGCTATTTCAGGTGATCATGAAAATCCATGGGTCCATGTCAGTTTATTAGGCGTTCTTCACGTTGTAGCGACCATCGAGCCTGCACATTTCTCGCCAACGCTATCGACCGGCTGGGCCTCTAGTTCGTCGCTCGCTCGGACTCTCGAACCATTGACCCGGCTTTCCTCATGGCCGAGCTGTGCAGCCGCTGTCCAGACTATTCTCCGGCCTAGGCTCTCGAACCGCTCAGCCGCCTCCAGTCCCACCTGGACCATCGATCCGCTTGTCAGCCCTTCCACTCGCCCAGGCTATCGACGCCTTCTACCGTAAACTTTCTTGTCCCGCCCTTTAATCATCTGCCCCGCGTACGATCCAGCGTGTTCTGTCTATCCTATAACCTACCATCCGATCAAGACCCATCAGCCCACCCTCCCGCTAGACAATCGTTCCTCTATCCTGCCCTCCCTTCCGGTTTATCGATTTGACCTCCTTCACGCTTGGGCAATCGACCATCTAGCCTACCCTACCGCCAGCCTGCGCTATCGATCTTCCAGAACGCCCTTCCTCCCAAACGGTCTATCTAATGTGGTGCAATGGATCCAGCGAAATCCGAGGGCAAAGATGACACACTGGCGCCATACCTAGGGGTTTAGAGGATGAGTATCAGAATTACGGATCTGCGAGAACGCCTGCCTGGCCGCTCGCCCACCACAGCAGAGACGTCAGGAGGCTGCGTGCGCAAGATGATGGAGGCATCTGGCTGGTGGAACTTTCTACCAATATCAAGAAATTACTGCATTATTCTGTAAGACTGAGGGCTTCTTTTGGGACCAACTTTTCAGGCCAGCAAGTAACCACGTTTGCAGTCCTGAGCGATGAAGCGATGGATCTGGTTGTGTCTGGTGGCTGAGGTGAACAACAGTGCTTTACAGTCGAGTGAGACTAGAAACCAGAAACTGGCTTCCTTCAAAACCAGCAAAGTCCAGAAACAGAAAGGGTGTTTTTGTAAAAGAGTGGCTTAAGGATCAAGGAAACTAAAACCAAAAATAATAATTCACTATAAATAATGTGCTAAATAAATCCATATTATATTTTAGAGAAAAAACCATATAATTTCCGATGTAGGTTACATTTAACTTTCGTAGTGTAAATAAATCATTTAAAAACTCATCATTAGAGCAAATGTTCAGAATTCTACCCTTCTGCACTTAGAACAATTTCATGTCTCTTGAAAAAACTGACCTTAATTTGAGTTCACTGATGTCAATAGATGCAATTGTTTAATGAATGTTTTGCCATAGTTCATCTAATGTATGGGGATGATATGAACAAACTTTTTCTCTTACGATTTCCCCACAGATAAAAATCATAGGGATTTAAGTCTGGAGATCTTGCAGTCCACAATATGTGACTTATCAGTCTGTCTTCAAACACTGTTTAAAGCATTAATGGAATAACTGGCAGTGTGTGCTGTAGCTCTATCTTGTATAAATTAACCATGTCTTTTCTTCTTCCACGATGTTCTCAAAATAGGACCAAAGAATGTCACTGACATATTGCAAAATTAAGAGCATTTTTAAAAAATACGGGCCCTACTATTCATATAGCAGTAATGGCACACCACACACCAACATTCTGGTTGTGAAGGGGTACATCAAAAGTCTGTCTTGGATTAATATTGCTCCCATAAATATTGTTTTGAGAACTGATATACCCACTCAAATGAAACCAAGCTTCTTCATAAGTGGATAATGCAAGTTTTGGGCTGAGAATACCATCATGTACTGACTGCAAAACCAGTTACAAAAACGCATTCTACTCTCATAATCACTTTATTCAGTTACTACAAACCATTATATTATAGATATACACATACGTTTTTAAATGTTCTCCACACTATTGTGTTCAAACCTGTGTCTGTTGAGCTAATGAAGCCACAAATTTGCATGGTCAATGTTCTAATCTGGGTCCAATTTCATCAGGCATTTCATTGGTTAGCTTGGCACTGAGTTTACCGCATTTCTTTCTAAGAAAGGCACAACTTAATGCAAAATCTTTCACCAATTCAAACATTACTGATGAAGTTGGAACTGAAACATCAGGACACCTTCAGCAAAACCTTCTAACTAACTAGATGGATTACCGAACCCGAAGGTTATCAATGAATTGGCCAAGGCATGAACAAATAAATGAACTGTCGTGCCATTTATTAGCGAGGGCATGAACTAATGTAAAGATAAGTGAATTTCCGCGCCATCTGTTGGAGGAATATAAACTAATGAGCCCGCTAGTATTTTTTTGATCCGTTTACCTCCTTGGGTACCCTGTAACCCGGATAGAAACATCGAAAATCTCAAAGCTAAGTGACCTGCTGGTAAATATATGAACTGATAAGTGAACTGCCGCGCCATATATTATCGAGGGCATGAACTAATGTAAAGATAAGTGAATTTCCGCGCCATCTTTTGGGAAGATATAAACTAATTTTCCCGCGAACATTTGCTTGCCCGTTAACCTCCTTGGGTATCCTGTAACCCGGATAGAAACATCGAGATCTCAAAGCTAGGTGACCTGCTACGTCCTCTATTGACAAAGATATGAACTAATGTAAAGATAAGTGAACTAATTAACTAACTAAATGGCTTACCGAAACCTAAGGTTCATCACTGAATTAACCAAAGCCCTCAACTGGACCCTGCCAACAAATTCCAGGCTCCTTCAACTCCTATCTCCCATAGATCCCGCCTGACATTATCCTCCCATCTACGTCTAGGTCTCCCCAGCAGTTCTTCCCCTCAGGCTTCCCAATCAATACCCGGTGCACAACTCTTGTCCCGTCCATGCGTGCTAAATGCCCTAGCCCATCTCATTCTTCTCGATTCAATCACCCCAACAATCCAGGGGGAGAGTATAAATTTTTAAGTTCGTCATTGTGTAGTTTTCTCCAGACCCCATCTTCTCTCCTAGGCCCAAATATCCTCAACACCCTATTCTCAAACATCTGAAACCTATGTTCCTCCTTCAGAGTGAGAGCCCATGTTTCACACCCATACAATACAACAGGCAAAATTATTGTTTTATCAAGTTCTTAGAAATCAGATGGGAAGACAAAATATTTTGAACTGAGAAGTAGCAATCATTTCCGGAATTTAGTCTCTCCTAACTTCCTTATGAGTATCATTTTGATTTGTTATTGTTGTTCGCAAATATTTGAACTTTGTAACACTTTCAAAGGATTTATTAGCCACCGTAAGACAATTCTGCCTGCCTGTTTGCTGACGACGAGATACTAACATGTACTTCGTTTTTTCTGAATTTACTTCTAGCCCCACCTGTCTACTAGCCTCTAGTAAAACTTCTGCGTTCCTCTTTATTGTATTCATATCGTCCCCCAATAAATTAACATCATCAGCATATGCCAATAGCTGATGTGTCCCATTCAATTGCAAGGCCTCCTGCCTATCTTGGACTTTCCTGATGATGTATTCTAGCGCAAAGTTAAAGAGCGAGGGAGACAAAGCATCTTCTTGTTTTAGACCGTTCTTGATGAAGAATGACTCAGATAAATATTAACCTACACGAATTTTGCTACAGGTTTCATTTAAGCACATTTTTATTAGACTCACCAGCAAAACCTTCTTTCAGACAATTTAGAGATTTTTTTTACATAACTATCATACAGAAAAATCCACTGTTCATGTGTGTATTTCACCATCTCTATTTATTACTGTGAATGAGAACACAGAACAGCCTTCTGAATTATCTTAAAAAAACAGAACTGATCAAAGTATGCCAATTAATACACCAATTGCACTTGCAGTGACAGCAGTAAAACATCAGAGATACTGAGTATTAATGCAGCTGACAAAATATCTTCTCTGTGCTAACCTCCGAACCATGTAAGACATTGTTAGCTGCTGCTAGGATGTTTTTATCAGTGCTGGGCTAACTGGATTGAAGCAATTCCTTGTAAAAGAAAATAATGCACGTTTAAAAGTGAAGATGAAAGGTCATGTTTAAGAGCAAGACCCACATAAACAAAACAAAAATGCATTAGAAAGTCCCCAAAGAAGAATAAAGTGATATGAAAAGGGAGAAGAAAACAATAACACCAAAAATTATCAAATTCACATTTTATCAGTACCACTACTATCTGAAGAACATATACTTTAAGCATAATTGTTTTAAATTCCAAATGGTGGAAAGACAGCTGGAAGTATAAAGATAAGCCATTTTATAGTTATTTGCCTATCATAAGAAATAAAAATACGTATCATATCAAGTTTTGCAATATATTTGTATGTAATTTCAGCCACAGTGTGCCACAAGATGACAACAATTCATAGTTTGTTTACATCAGAGGTAAGGATTAAAACTAATATGATATTATGTATGGGTGGCAGAAAAATCAGCACATGACATTAAAAATAAAGTCTTGTTTGGGGTTTAAATTACTAGTGTTATCACACACTGATAGTCTTCCCCCATCATATAATACTGACTAAGTCCACATACATACAAACACACATACACACATATGGAATGGCACTGAGTAAATTTCATCGCAGCAACTTCAGTTTAGGCTCTACCTGTTGTAAAACAGGAGGAATGCAGAAGCAAGATTCCTTCCTGATGAACAGCATAACAGATTATAGTTGAATTCAACTCACAAA